ATCCATCCCTTAACCCCAGACCCTGAAACAAACCTAAAACCCAACGCCAGGATCCCTTGTATTTTAGGTGGACCCCCCACCCTGTAATAGTGGTATAATAGGAATATAAGAGGACCCTAATATAGTTACTCGTATCCCTTATAGTCACTATTACAGGGTGGGGGGTCCACCTAAGGTATATGGGTTATATAGTATAGGAGTTATGGATTGTTATACCTCCTCGCTGGAGGTTCCTACATTCGCTACGCGGCCAGTGCACGAAGCACGGGGAGCGTGTGGGACTTATCCCCGGCTGCTGTTAAGGAACTTAAGTTTTGTCCCCAAATCCCAAACCCATCTGTTGATATCGGGCATCCCTCAGGCTAAGAGATGTGAACCCATGGTTTTGACAAACTCCGGCAAGGAAGCGCTGGGGTTCCCTAACAGTCCAAGGACCCAAATAGTAGGGTTTTAGGGCCAAAGTACCATTCAAGCCTCGAACTATGAACCTTACGCCCTTGGCACCAGCTTTCCACACTTTTGTGGGGAAGCATGGTGCAGGGTTTAGGGTTTTGGAGATTAAAGGGTTTCGGGTATATGTTTGTATATGCTTAGACGTGTAGAAGAATCCCAAAGTAGAGACAGGAAACCTGGGATAGGGAGATCCTTATTGTGCTCTCAGATCACAGGCTCTTCGGGGTGAACCCCTATAGAAGGGATCCCTAATCACATTACTTTATATCACCCGTATATAGCCCTATATAACCAGGAAGTCCTCATATGCTCCGAGTCAAGGAGTCTAGGTTAAGCCCTATCTAAGAAAACTCATGGGACTCAAAATACCTCCGCGAATGGAGGGTACCTTGCACCGAAGCGCCAAGGGTGTCGAACATCTGCGCTGGAGGCTTGCTGCATTTTGATCTTTTCCAGGAACTGCACTGTGAAACAAAAGGTTTTGTATTCAAATCTAGGGTTTCAAATTTGGGAAATTTCTCCTGCTGTGCAAAAGAAAGCAGAGTTTGACTTTTTCAAGAGTTAAGTGCATATCATTGGCCAGCAAATTAAAAACCAGCAAAGCCGTGTTGGAACGCTCCAAACCCTAAACCCTAATAGTCTCCATTTTCTTTGCCATTATACCAGTATAACCCCAATATAACACTAAAAGTACCCATATGAAACCTCTACAAAAAGAAAAACTGCTTTTGTGTTTTTGTCAAGTTGATCCCTACCATTGGAGACCATTGGGCTAGGACATATATATATATATATAGATATGTATAGGGACAATGAAAAAGAAAATGGAAACCACTTCGTTATAACAGGGTATCTATAGGGATAATGGAAAAGAGAATGAAAACTACTAAATTATGATAGGGTTTATATAGGGATCATGGAAAAGCAAATGGGCACTCCTATGTTATGGGCATTGTTCGGCATGTTTCTGGTCTTGTGCAGGACCTGCGTTACTTCTTCGACCCTAAGCCTTTGCCCTGACCAGAAGTAGCGAGGAGGGGGCGGCTGGAAACGGTAAAAGATGAAGCTCCTTCTACACCTAGGGTTTAGGGTTTAGGGTTTCATGAAGGTTTAGGGTTTAGGGTCTAAGGTTTATCGTTTAGGGTTTAGGGTTTCATGAAGAGGCCAATCCCCCAAATAATCGCGTATTCTAGCCCATGTCATGAAGCTTCGTGTTGCGCTTCTTTCGTTTATAGCAAGACCTCCCCTAAGGTATGATTCTGGGTATGTGCGAGGTCCACGCAGGTGCCAGGGTGAAGGGGAGATATTACCATGAGTAGTATTTTATTTGGGGGTACTATGGTACCCAATATAGAGTAAGATCATATCCTCCTTTGGGGGTATACTATTTTAGAAAGGAAGGAAGTCTTACTAGATCCAACCACCAAAAAAACACTACTCAGTTGTGGCTCTTTGCTACAGAGCAGGGTTGGTCGAAATGGCCCCAATAGGGTTTAGGGGTTAGGGTTTAGGGTTTTAGGGTTTAGGGGTTTCGGGGTTAGGGGTTTAGGGTTAAGGGTTTAGGGTTTAGTTGGGGGATGCTGACTGAATGTATTGGGACATTGGCGAATAGGTTTTGATATATGTGAGTTCTATCAGAACCTAGTGACGTATATAGCTGAAATCGTCAGTACTCTCCCAACAATATTTAAATCTTAAACCCTAAACCCTAAATAGTAGTTTCCATGTTCTTCACCATTATCCCTATACTGAGTAACAAAGAACCAAAATAGTGCTGTGACTGAAGCTCCTCAAGGAGCCCGTGAGAGCCAGAACACTTCCCAACATAAGGACCTTAAACCCTAATCCCTAAACCCTACCTGAACCCCAAAGGTATGTAGAATAAAGGCCTCTTGGGCTATGTCAAAGGGTTTTCGGCTATTAGTTTAACCTACTTTTGGGTTCAGGTAATCCCTAGACCCTGAGCCCTAAACCCTAGAGTCTTAGAGTCCGGCACAATTATGGTTCAGGGTACCTGAACTAGACCTCAACATGATATTGGAAATTATGTAGGCTCCTACAGTACGGAGGTTGCTTTAAGGACAGGTTTATGGGCTCTAAGTGGTTGGTATCACCCATGATTTTCACTTTTCATTAGAGTCAAACCCGAATTAGTGATTAAGATTTTTGACCCCAACCCCAAACCATAAACTCTGGAGCCTTAACCTGAATCGCCAACAAGAGACCAGGAAAATCCAGTTCAACTACACCTGCGAGATGTTGTTCAATTGCCGCGGAGAATTTTAGCCTCTGTTTATCAGGACCCCGCGTTGGGATTTAAGATTTAGGGTTTCTTACTCTTGGGTTTAGGTTTCAGGTTTGAGAATTAGGGTGTTGACGTCTTGCTCCTTTGAACTGTCCAACATGTCCCTCTATGCCCCGGGACCATCTACACTTTAACTGTAGCCAAGTCCTACGCAAAAAAGCCTAAATGCTAAACAGAAACAATTTCTAAACCGTAAGGGTTGTGAGCCACCCTTAACCATAAACTCCTAAACCCTAAACGCCTAAACCCTTAAACCCCTAAACCTAAACCCCAAAGCAAGTCACGAACTCTTGCTAGTCCATCCTGTAGCAGGTTTGACATCCAGAAGCTGGGCTAAACTTCATGAACCGCACGGGAGAGTTTAGGGTTCATGGTTTACCTGTCTGCTTTAGGGTTTAGGGTTTAGGGTTTTGGGGTGTATCTGAACTCCAAAAAGTATGCAGAATAATCATCTTTTAGGCTTTTTCTATGGGTTTCGGGCTATCATTGTACCTACTTTGGGGGTCCAGGTACTGTAGGGTTCAGGGTGCGAGCTACGCGTTTGGGTTTTTCTGTTTGACCTTCCGCGTTGTGTTTTTATGGGGTTGCCAAGGCTTAGAAGCAGACCCTTGCAAGGGGGCCTGGGCAGTTCTTGAAATCACTTGCCCGCCCCAAGTGATGTGGAAGACAAAAACTCAGCCCTACAAAGGTTACTGCTCCTGTTGACTGGGGACTGTAGGAAGTTTGTGTGTCGATTTGGGGAAGGCATTGAAGGTCTGAACCATGTGGATCATGCGGGTTTGTCAATTCATGCACCCGTGCTTCCCGTGCATTGCATTGGGTTGCTGTTAAGGAACGTAAAGTAAGCTACCATCATGGGTGTGTATATATATATACAAACTATTTAATAAGGGTGTGCCCCAAACATAGTAACGTAAATCAAGTTCCTTAAATCCCTATATTCCACCAGTTTCCATCTCATGTTCCATTCCCTTGTCCATGATGATTTTCCATGATAGGGGGATTAGAACCCTAAACCCTAAGTTCCTTAACAGCAATCCATTTTTTTGCATGCTCAGGCCGCCGATGATCGACGGCCTTCCGCCCATTGCACGGGCCCCAGGAAGCCCCACCGCGAGGGTTATAAGGGTGATGCCCATGCCTGGACCTCAAGGGTAGGTAAGATATAGGGGTTTAGGGTTTAGGGTTGGTTTAGGGTTTTAGGGTTTAGGGTTCATAATGGCCCCAAAACCTTTAACACGACCACAAAAGCAGCGATTCTTCTACATACTGTTGGGGTCCAGGTAAACCTTCGACCCTACTTCCCAACAACTTTTCGTCCCAAAGCCATTGAGGGTTCAGGTAAACCCAAATCCTGCACTAATATGCCTTAAACCCGGAACCGTACATCCTAAACGATGTTACCCTAAACCCCCTTAAACTTTGAGCCTATCTACCTAGCTTCCCATTTCCAGAACCCCTCCAAACACCATTTGCCCAATACAATCCTATCATCCTAGTTTCCATTTTCTTTTCCATCATCGCAATATTACCCCAATATACCCCTAAACCCTAAACCCCCTAAACCCCAAAGAAAACCCTACCCCACCAGCAAGAGGCTGTGGCCAAAGTTGCTGAGCTCAGCGCGTCGCAGCTTGCGGCACATGGCCTCGAAGGAGTGCTGAGGCCATGGGGACACCAAGGGATATCTGGGATACATACGAGTAGCATTTTATTTGGGGATACTATGGTACCCAATATAGAGTAAGATTATATCCTCCTTTTGGGGTATAGTATTTTATGTAAAGAATATAGTCTTACTAGTTTCAACCACCAAAAAAACACTACTCATATGAGCTACGGACTAAATTTAGGTTAGGGGGACCTATAGGGGGACTAAAAAAGGTTTTTTGGGGGAACTATTAAGGGATATACTACAAATTTAGTCCAGGGCTCATATTGGGATACATATGAGCATTTTTCTATTTGTACATGTAAAAACGTACGTATGTTTACATATACCGGTCTTGATAGTTTAAGGCTCGCGGTTTAAGGATTTCAGGTTTTCGGGAAGTAGGGTTTCGGGATTGAAGGTTTTGGGGTCTACAGGCGCCAACGAGAGATTATCTAGGCCCTCCGTATGGATGCTTTGAGGATTATCATGCCCTAGTATTTGGGTCCTATATACTCTTATATAGTCCCCAGATATCCCATATATCCCCCTAGAACTCCTTTAAAGGGACCCTATTATTTGGGTCCTTGGACCCTTAGGGATGGGGTAGAACTTCAACGGAGCATGGTTTAGGAAATTGTTGGGTTCGTGGGTAAACCCTAAAGCCTAAACAGGGAATGAAGGAGATAAAGAAGGCTTAGGGTTTAGGGTTCAGGGGTTTAGGGTTTTAGGGGTTTAGGATTTAGGGTTTAGGGGTTTAGGTTTTAGAGAATTCTCGGAATTCAGGGTTAAAGGATTTTGCATTTTTAGGGGTTAGGGTGTGGGGGATGGGTGAGTAAAAGAGTTATGGCAAGGCTTTTTGATGTAGGATTTAAGTGTAAGCTTCCTGGACACTATCTTCCTGGAATCCCTGATTGAAGGTTTCGCTACTTAAAAGTAACTCTCATTTGGGAATTTAGAGAGTTAGGGTTGAGGGCTTAGGGTCAAGGATTTAGGGTGTAGCGTGTAGGCGTGTGGGATTGAGAGCCTCAGGCCCTTAGGATTCCCAGAGGTCCATGTACCCAATAATTAGGTACTCGGGATTCGGGTAGTAGGGATTATAGTACAGGTTCTGGGGAAGTATATGATTATTGGGTACTTGGACCCTTAGGGATTGCCAATATTTGGTTCTGAGGAGGCAGGCTTGCGCAAGTCTTCTCGTCAGTATGGTTCAGTGTTTACTTCATATGATTCTAGGTTAGGGCTTTCAAGCTCTGAATGGCAAGCTTCTGACATGTATCCAAACTGATACATGAGTTCCTCCATCAGATCCGGTGTCTGCGGGGAAAGCATCAAAACTGACCCACCGCAATGTTGAATCACTTTGGAGCAAGCCCCCCGTTGGCCAACTTCCAGATCAGAAAAGGTACGTCGAACAAACCAAGCACAGTCATGGACGGCTGGGCCACATTCAAGCTTCTAAAGCGACCGGGTTGCGACTAACGGTGTGAGGCCAGGGGGCCTGATAATGCAGGCTCCAGGGCATAGGGTTTGATGTGGAAGCCCTAAATCTTAAAGCCGTATAAGCCCCAAGCCACACACTCCAAGATGTACGAGCTTGCGGATGCAGAATCCAATTTCCCACCTACATCACGGCAAAAAAATCTTGGGACCAGGGTCTGCCTAGACCTTTGTACCGTTTTACACATCCGTGGAGCTTCTAATACAACTTGCTGCGGATGCGCGAGATTGAAGCGTTTCTGTCGTTGTTTATTTTCGTTTCTTGTTGGGTGGGGGCCGATTTTGGACAACTTTATTGCGAACCTTGCACCCCCGCTATCACACGGGAATTTCACTACTGCAGGTCTCTAGGCCAGAAGTGACTAAGTGGTGTGTAGGGTTTGGGGTTTAACCACGGTTCCTCCTTTCCACTGTATGATGCAGGTGGAAGATAGAATACGAGCCCTTCTGGGCGGAGTTTTTCCAGTCGGACACTCAGGGTCTAGGAATCTAGGATTTCCAGAATTTGGGTCTTTAGGGGTGGTTGGTGGTGTAGGTTTTAAAAGAAGGGCTGAGGATGTCAGTGGTAAGGAAGATGACATTTTGGAGTTTAGAAGTTGGAGTATCTACCCAGACCCTCCCAAGTAGTTGGACAGCGGTGCACAGCCGCCCGTGTGCTTTCGTGCACTTTTTGAACTTTTAGCGGGTTTCCTTGTTCGAACAGTGAGTGCGATCACCAGAGCATCCATGCCCAAACCAGAATTCCGTTCATCTTGGAGTGAGTACGATTATACCAGGGCATCCATGCCCAAACCATAATTCCGTTCCTCGAGTGAGTACGATTATACCAGCACATCCATGCCCAAACCATAATCCC